TCATATCACGCCTCAGCTACTGTAACTCACTCCTCATTGGCCAACCTCATTGCAGGCTATCCCCCCTCCAGTCTATCATGAACGCTGCCGCCCCAGACTCATCCACCTTACTAACCGTTCTGTATACGCCATCCCTCTCTGCCAATCCCTCCACTGGCTCCCAGTTGCCCAACGGATAAAATTCAAAACACTAACAATGACATATAAAGCCATCCACAACACTACCCCCCCCCCCAATTTACTTAACCGATCTTATCTCTAAATATCACCCAAACTGTACACTCCGTTCCTCGCAAGACCTCTTACTCTCTAGCTTCCTTATCTCCTCCTCCCATGCTTGTCTCCAACACTTCTCCAGGGCGTCACCCATCCTCTGGAACTCCCTACCCCAATCTATCAGACTTTCACCTACTCTATTTGCCTTTAGGCAATCAATGAAAACCTATCTCTTCAGGGAAGCCTATCCTGCCCTCTGCTAATTCTGGAATCCTCTACTCTTCCAACCACTCCATCCCCCACAGTTACTACCTACTGTACCATTCACCCCTCCCTTCTAGATGGTAAGCTCCAAGGAGCAGGGCCCTCAAATCCCTCTTGTATTGAACTGTATTGTTACTGTATTGTCTCCCACTATAATGTAAAGCGCTGAGCAAACCGTTGGCGCTATATAAATCCTGTATAATAATTATAATAATGTCAACAAACAAGTGTAAAATATATGATAAAAAATAAAGAAAGAAATAGCGAGATCAAGATTTAGTCTAGGTCAGTGCCAAGGTTAATGTTAGGGTCAAAGGTCAGGGTAAGTATATTTTTAAAAATTCATATCAAGGTCAGTTACTGGCAGTATGACTGGGTTTTAGATAAAAAAAAACAAAATGTGCACCATTGTTTCTGGGCCCTACTATGAGTACAAACAACAAATAACATACACATATGTGGTATTGCTGCAATAGTCAGGAGCAAGAGAATTTATTTTGGGATGTTTATTGGTGGTAAGTTATGATAATAGCAAGAACTATTCAGCTACATTTAAAAAAAATGGTTATTTTAACTGTTTTAGGCCAGTTTTCTATTACCATTTACCTCCAAAAGTAAGCCCACTTTGTCCTGAAATAAAACAAGGTATAATCTACCTGGATGTACAAAGTAGTTACGATGATATGTACAGTTTTACTAACACATGCCAAAGTTGCAAGGCTTTAATATTTGTTTTACCATCAGTCATAAAAAGATTAAATAAGGCTGTATTTATTGAAGTGCTAGTTAGTTAGATAATGTGGCCTCTGGTTAGCCTGGAAAAAGGAGAATAAGATTATGTTGCATTCAAAATTATTGCACACATTGCAAAATTATGCTTACAGAAAGCACATGGGTTTCTATGTTTTGAAATGCTTTAAATATTCAAAAGTTGAAAAGTTTTCTATCAACCTAGTATATGGCAAATATACAAATGTTCAGAAATAGCAAACTGTGTGTGGTTGACAGAAAGAATTGAATGACCATAATGGTAATTTAAAGTGAATCTTTCTCTGCGTTTTTAAAAAATCAGCATGTAGTTGGAATTACAGTTATACAAAACAATGAGTTCCAAATGCTGCCTAAAATATTTGTCTCTACCATACTGAATGGTGGCTGGTATGTAAAAGTAGGTATGGGTCCATGTCATCATTCTTATTTTATTTTCTTTATACTTATGATGTGTCTGCTAAATGTTATATT